AGCAACTGCCTCAGGATTCAAAAAAGTAAACAGTGATAGATAGCCTTGTGATGGGCTGACTTAAATAATAATCTGTAGTGAAGGTGATTTTTCCCAATTCCACTCTTCCTTCTTCTGGCTTTCATTTGGGAGTGAAATACTGAACTGTCTGCAGGCATGGGAAGCAAAACTTTTGAGAGAAGGTTGCTACTTCCCACAGAACTGGGAAAAGGTCCCCGTGTTTTACTGTTTACAGGGAAATCTTACGTTGTTATTCTACTCTTCTTTGTTTTCTCTTCTGGTTCTATCTTGAAGGCAGCCCCAGTTGTGGAATACCAAAGACCCACTTCTCTAATCATAGGACCTGAGAGAGGAGGACCCTGCTGTTTAGAGAATGTGTATGTGGGAATCTCCATTAATTTAAGCACCTTTACTCTTGCTACTTCTAACTAATTAATTATGGATGACCACAGTCACCTGGAAATAACATGGTGAAGGATAAAAATGTGAAAGAAATCTGTCTTTCTGGCTAGAGGAACCAGAGCTAGGGGTCTCAAGAAGCCAGAAAGTATGAAGGAAATTCTGAACAGCAGGAAAAGGTGACCCCTAATTTTGTGTATGAACTTCCATAAAGCCAGGGTTCACCCTGAAGCATGGTACATGTGCAACCGACCCAAAGAAGCACAGGGTGGCCTTCCAACAAGGAACTACAGTATAAAGCACTGTGCAATTTCCAGAGTAACTGCTGAGTGGCACATGCAATAGACAGACTCAAATAGCATAGCAAAGACTTTGAAAACTGACATAGAAACCAATGCCAACAGAGAGTGAGACAGAACTTACAGATCTTATTGGTTACTGATCCTAGGTTTAATGACTGATAAAACAACACTACAAAATGATATCACTTCCACAGGATTTTAGCAGGACCAGAGCCCCAGAATATGACATTCAAAATATCTAGGATAGAGTCTAAAATTACCAGACAGAAAAAGAACCAGAGAAGTTCGATGAATTCTAAGAGGAAAAGACAATCCACTGATGTAAGCACACAGAAGACCCAGATTTTGGAAAATATTTGATGAAGATCTTAACGCAGGTATAATAACCACCTTCCACAAAATAAAGGTAAACAAACATTCTTTAGATGAACAGAGATAGGACTTCTCAGGAGATAAAAAAGAAATGAGAAAATATGCATCTGAAATAAAAATTTCACTGAAGGTGCAAAGTAGCAGAAAGAAGACAACAAAGGAAAGAATTAGTGCATTTGAAGACAGATTAGTTGAATGCCCCAGTCTGAAGTATGGAAAGAAAAATGATGGATTAAATAACGAACAGAGAACTGAAGAATTGCGGGACAATATCCAAAGGCCTCACATGTGTGTTATTGGTGTATCAGAAGATGAAAACAGACACAGAAAACATGTGAGGAAGTAATGGCTGAAAATTCTTCCCAAATGGCTAAAGACATATTCAAGGAGTTCACTAAATTATAAATAGGATAAACTCAAAGAAAATCATACCTAGACATACAATGACCCACCTGTTAAAAAACAAAGATAAAGAGCTCACCAAAATTAAAAGAATGAAAAGGCAAGTTACTTACTAGGAGAACATATCTGGAAGCCACACATCCAACAAAGAACTAGTACCTACAATATATAAAGAACCCTCAAAACTCAACAGTGAAAACAAAACAGTCCATAAAAGACATGAATAGTCGTTTCACTGAAGAGGATTTATAGATGGCAAATAAGTATATGAAAAGATGTTCAGTATCATCAGCCAGTAGGAAAATGCAAATCAAAAACACAATGTGGTACTAATAGATACCTAGAAAAGAACAGTGAGCACATCAATGCTGGTAAGGATGTAGAAAAACTAGAACATTCATACATTGCTGGTACAATAAATTGCTGAAAATAACATAATTTCTTATGAAATTAAACATATGACCTAACAATTGCACTCTTGCAAATTTATTGCAAAGACATAAAGACTTGTATTTATGCACACACAAAAACTATACATAAATGTACATGAACTGTACACAGGTGTTTTATTATAATATCCCCAAACTGAAAATTATATATATATAAATATATAATATATAAATATATAAATTAAGCAAACTGTGGTAAAAACATACATATTATACTACTCAGCAATGAAAAGAAATGAATTACTGATGCATACAACAATGTGGATGATACCACTTTCAGAAGAAATCATGAGAATCTTGTGTGACCTTGAGTTTTTTTTCTTTTCTTCCAGGTTGGCTTCCAATTCACAATTCTCCACTTCAGCCTCCTGAGTGGCTGGGATTATAGGCACACATCCCTGCACCTGGCTTCAAACCATTCTTAATGCCGTTAACAGCAAGAGAACTGGTAAATTAGTATTCATAAAAATTAAAGCCTTTTTCTCTATATATGACACTGTTAAAAAAATGCAAAGACAAGCCACCAGTTGGGCGAAAATATCTGCAAATCAGATATATCTGAAAAGGACTTTTATTTGGAATAAAGAATTTTCAAAATCCAATAAGAAAACAAAAATCCAATAAAACATTTTGAACAAACACTTCACCAAAGACTATAAACTGACGGCTAATAAGCATATGAAAAGATGCTCAACATCAACGAGCATGAGGAAAATGCAAAGTAAAACCACAATGAGATACTTACACATTGCTATAAGAATGTCTTAACACACGTGTGCGCGCGCACACACACACACACCTGAAAAAATTAAATGCTGGTGAGGAAGTAAAAATGCAAAACTTTTGTGTACTGCAAGTGAGAATGCAAAATGGTTCAGTCATTTTGGAAAACAGATTGGTTTCCTATGAAAATTAAACACCAAACACTTTTCTAGCAATCTCACCCCTGGAACTTATGAAAACTTTATATTTATACAAAACTTGCATATGAATGTTTACAGCAACTGTGTTCATTATTTTAAAAAACTAGAACTGAATCAAATGTTCTCCAACTGGTGAAAGGATAAATGAGCTGAGATGCATCTGTACTATGAATACCTAGCAGGAAAAAGAAGCAAACAACTGATAAACATGGATGAATCTCATATAATTATGTTACGTGACAGAAGACAAAGTAAAAAAATCTGTAATTATTCCTTTTATATGACATTTTGGAAGGGCAAGATTATTTAGAGGAACAACAGATCAGTGGTTGCCAGAAGGAGGAGGGTTGGAATATAAAATGACAGCAAGAGGGAGTCATTTTGTAATGACCAAATTGTTTGGCACATATCTGTACTCTCAGCTACTGGGGAGGCTAAGGCAGGAAGATCACAAGTTTAAGGCCAGCCTCAGCAACTTAGTGAGACCCTGTCTCAAAAATAAAGAAAAAAAGGGGTATGTGTGTGTGTTTCTGAGGATGTAATTAAGTGGTACAGTGCCCCTGAGTTCAATCCCCAGTATTGAAAAAATTTTTTGTTTTGTATCTTGATTGAACTTCTCTAACTAGAGAAGTGTACAGTGTTCCTCAAAATATGAATTTTTATGTATGTAAATTTAGAAATAAATTTAAAAGAATATAAGACAAGGGGCTGGGGCTCAGTTGCAGAGCACTCGGCTAGCATGCATGAGTCACTGAGTTCAATTCTCAGCACCACATAAATGTAAAATAAAGATATTGTGTCCACCTAAAACTAAAAAATAAATATTAAAAAAAATATATAAGACAAGCATAACAGCAAGATCCATAAAACAGAAAACTGGTAAATTAATATACAGTGGGTATAAATTAGGACTGTTTTAGGTAGCTGTTATACAACCCTCAGGGAACAATGGCACTGAATCTACCTCCTCTCTCATGTCCATCCCATCTAAAGCTGCTGAACTGTCCATCTTTCTGGGGTTGACCATTCTTATTTATGAGTCCTAGACTTACGTTGGAATATATCTGAAACAATACCGGCAAATGTAGTGCAGGAAAATGCTCCAAATAAAATGACTCTGTGCTTTCTGCTTCACAATATTTCTGAATTAATCACCAATGCTTAAAAAACTAGATTAAAAATCAATTTGTTTGTTTGTTTTGGTACTAGGAATTAAACTCAGGGGTACTATACCACTGAGTTACATCCCCAGCCCATTTTATTTTTTATTTTGAGACAGAGTCTCACTAAGTTGCTTAGGGCTTCACTGAAGTGCTAAGGCTGGCCTCAAACTTACAATCCTTCTGCCTCAGCCTCCTGAGTTGCTGGGATTACAGGCTTGCATTATCACACTCAGTGCCCTTTTTATTTTTGATTTTTGAGACAGGGTCTCACTAAGTTTCTGAGGCTGGCCTTAAACTTGTGACCCTACTGCCTCAGCCTCCTGAGCTGCTAGGATTACATGTGTGTGCCACTGCATCTGGCTTAGAGAGATTTATATAAAATATAACTCTGATCATGCCTTTTCCAACTAGAACATTTTCTCCTTTACTTTTGGACAAAGTTCAAACTCCTTAGCATGGCTTTAAAATACAAGGTCTTTCATGAACTGATTCCTGACTCTCTCCAACCTTGTGCCTTGCCCCTTCAAATGAACCCTGACAGTTCCTATAGATCTTTTCTAAAATAACTTTATAGATGTTTATTGAAATATTACAGATGTCTTAAATTTATTTTCCTACCAAATAAGAGCTACTATTTACTAAGCATATTTATTTCCTAGATATCATGCTAGGTGCTTTATATTATATACATTCTTTCACCTTTTAAAATAACTACAATTATTCTCCTTTTACAGTAGAGAAAGCTAAAGATTATGAAGGTTAGGTAACTTCATAGCATAGCAAGTGGAAGAGCAGAGATAGGAACTTAAACCTGACTCTCATATGTTCAGCTATTACAGTAAAGGCAGTCAGTAAATGTTTATTAAATTAATAATAGCTCTCCATCTTCTTTATCTTATAATTATCTGTAATTCACAGAAATCCAGGATAAAAAATACATAGAACCATATAATGTCACAGACATCTGAAATTTTAAAACTGTGTACCTACCTGCATGAGATCTTGAAGACTCTCAACAAAAGAAATCTCTGCTTCTACCATATAAAATTCTGCCAGGTGTCTCCGGCTCTGAGAATTCTCAGCTCGGAATGTTGGACCAAAGGTAAACACTTGAGTAAAAGCTCTGCAATTCAAGATGAAGATCATGAAAATAGGATTCACATGATTAATTTTAAATATTTAAAGAACTCTGTGAGCTCTTAAAAAAAATTGTACCTCTGTCATGTTCATAAGCCCACACATATTAGCTCTCTACTTCTCTAATGGGTGATAATAATAGTTTCATTAAAAATGTTACATTTATAGAAACCATTTTATCCCAAAGGAATTTGCAACTGCTTTACAAACCCTACGGTTTTCTAAATATAGATACACAACCACTTCTGGGTGCATCCTACTGCAGCTGCCTTAAACAGCAGGCAACTACATTTCACAGCAATCAAGATCAAAGTAAAGGAAAAATACCACCACCCAAGAAACCACACAGAGAATTCTAGATAGAAACACAAAAAATTAGAATTTCTTGTGAATAAGGTGTGCAAATTTATTTTTTAAATACATGAAAAAAGAAATGTCAGATATGTGCAGCAATTTACCTTTTCCCAAGTCTATCTGAGCCCTTCATAACCACCCACATATTCCAATAGATGCTGAAATCTGACCCTTGAAATTTGGGGGTGAGGCAGATTTTGAAGAAATGTCTATCCCCTGGATTTAAAAAAAGACTACAGCTCAACCATCCAAATGAAAACAAAACAAAAACCCAAACAAACCTTATTTTAAATTCCCCCAAAGAAGTAGACACACATCTCCATTCTTGAACATTTTAGTGTTCTTCATATTTGACAGGGCAAAAAAATGGAGATCAGATCAAGCATATACGAAGTAAGAAATATTTCTTAGGACTTAATTATAAATTTTGTTTTTGCAGAAACAAAGCAAGAAATTTGGGATCCTCAGCTATTATCTGGAATACTCTTTATATGTTCATTATTAGGCAAGTAAAACTAAGATCAGTAAGCAGTGCAGAAAACAGATGTTTTATATAAAAAATAAACATACCAGTTTTGTTTCATTTTAAGATATTCTGGGAAATAACTAAGAGATTTTTTTTTCTTTCAAAATTTCATTTCAGTTGGTAAGGGGCTTAGTAATTTTAGTTTTAGGTGGACACAATATCTTTATTTTACATTTGGTTCTATAGCCACCTTCATGAGATCATAATCGGTTAAGCTCAGAGAACTTTAGCTTTTAAGGGAAAAAAAAAAAACAGTAGGAACTCAGAAATATTACTATGGTTAACTTTTTCCCCAAGATTCAGACACAGACTTGCTTATTAGAATGTTCCTGAAAAGACAACTTATCTTGTACAAAATAAAAACGTTTGTCCCATTTCCAAAAACGAAATAATAATTCTGCTTTTCTTTTTACCTTTCTTCCAGTGCTGTTAATTTCAGTTAATCTATTTAGTCATCCAGGCCAGATCTTACAACCCCCACTGCCCACATGTCCCACATATTGATTACAAAACTCAATTGTTTACACTTTGAAAATTCTCTCAAAGCTAGTCACTCTTATCTCCACAGCTGCTGTTGGCGGTAAACCCTTGTATTTTGCTTAAAAAATAAACAGCTTTTGACTGATGTTTGCCACCTGTCTTTCTCTTGGCCCAAAATACTGTGAGTTTTCAGGCTCAAATCTGATTATATCAGCCCTAATTTTAAAATCTTCAATGATTACCCACTGCCAAAAGGATAAAATTCAAACTCTTGATTTCAACTCAGGATTCCCCTCATGTAGCCTTTCCTCCCTCACCTAGCATGCTCCTGCACCTTTGGGGTCTGCAAAGGCCATTTTCCATCCAGTACTCCCTGTCCCCTGATTCTCTCTATATATTTTATTTTTTAGGTACCCGATGTTGAATCCAAGGGCACTGAGCCACATCTCTAGTCCTTTTTATTTTTTTATTTTGAGATGGTTGCTTAGGGCCTTGCTAAATTGCTGAGGCTGGCTTTAACTTTTGATCCTCCTGCCTTACCTAGCCTCCTGAACTGCTGGGATTACAGGTGTGCACACCATGCCAGGGTCCTCTCATTCTAAATGGCAAATTCCCATCCAACCTTCAGGACTGGGCTTTTATGTCATTACTTCTTGGAAACCTGACCATGTATCCCAAATTCATTATTTCCTCCTGTATATAATACTTTGTTCATATATTTATCATATAGATATGTATGAAATGTAATTATATTTTAAAATATCTCCCTTCCTCCATTAACTATGAAATTTTCCAGAATAAGCATCATGTTTTATTCATGTTTGCATCTCCAGTGTCTAGATAAAACAGGTGCTCATGCTGAATGAATGAGTAACTAATGATGATGACGGGCTTCCTCAGTTGTCAAGTGGAAAAGCACAACATCCTCATAAACAACAATGTTACAAATATAGAAAAATACTCAAATACACCTTACTAGGGCTGTCACTCAGTACCTAAGATGGGAACCTAAAATGGATACCTAAAAATGGGTCAATCAATTCAGTCTGTCCCAAACAGTAAAATCAAAAGTTACATGGCCTTTGGTTTCCAATCTGTGACTATGACATCTATAAGTAGGCTAGCAATAGGTATATCAAAATTTAAAACATGGCATTTATTATTGGTACTACGTTGTAAGAAACTGTATATATAAATGTTAACATTAAAGTGTTGAATTTTTTTAGGGCATAAATACATATGTGGTATAGCTGAAATTTACTTTGGAGGCTCTGAAATACAAGGAAGGCTAATGAGAATGCTATTCAAGAGTGATATTTGTATTAAGGTACTAGGCACAAAGACATAGTGGTTTCATACAAGAACTCCAAATTCAAAGCATAAGGGCATTTGCTTCAACATGGCAATTCTATATATGTAGCTCCAGAATGAGTAGCAATAGGGATTTTAAAATTTAACAATGGTTCCCTAGATATGTTTGGCAAGTTCTCCAGTATAAAATGTAGAAGAGTATTATGAATTTTTACTTTAATTATAGTAAATAGCAGGCACTGACTGAGGTACTCAAGAGCTCAGTAACACTTTTTTTTTTCAGTTCATTTCTTTTTATTTTATTTATTTATTTTGGTACCAGGGATTGAAACCAAGGGCATTTAACCACTGAGCCATATTTCCATTTCTTTTCACATTTTATTTAGAGACAGGGTCTCACTAAATTGTTTAGGGCCTCACTAAATACTGAAGCTGGCTTTGAGCCTGTGATCCCCCTGCCTCAGCTTCAGCCGCTGGGATTACAGGTATGCGCCACCTGGCCTCTTTTTATTGTTGAAGTAAGTAACATTGTAATCGAGTAAGAACTGATGACCACAGTGCTTCTTTTGAATTAACAGAAAGAAAAAATAGTCTGGAAGGTATGTTGGAAAATTGCCTACTTTAGCATCCAGTCTTTAAGCAGAACAATGTTTAACCCATTCAATAATTATCACCCTACATCAGCATCAAGTGTACTATTATAAAGTAGTAATTACTGCAGGGTGCGGTGGCTCATGCCTGTAATCCCAGCAGCTGGGGAGGCTGAGGCAGGAGGATCAAGAGTTCAAAGCCAGCCTCAGCAATGGCAAGGTGCTAAGCAACTCAGTGAGACCCTGTCTCTAAATAAAATACAAAATAGGGCTGGGGATGTGGCTCAAGGGATTGAGTGCCTATGAGTTCAATCTCTGGAACCCCCCCACCCCCCAAAAAAGTTGTGATCACCAGTAGAGAGCCACCATCCTTGTAAGCCAGACATTAAATGTCAAAACCTTACAGCTAACCCCTTCATAGTTGATTCCTTAAAGTATTATTACTATTTCTGTTTTCCAAAGTAAGAAACTTTTGATTCACAGAGGTTAAGAAGCTTTCTCAAAAGTCACAGAGCCACAGTTAAGTTAAAGGGTGGAGGCAGACTCAAATGCAGATCTACTCCCATGCTTACAGCCTTGATTAGATACTGACAAAAATGATGCTCATAACTAAACATTTAAAAGCTCAGAAAATTAGGGGCTAGGGTTGCGGCTCAGTGGTAGAGCACTTGCCTTGCATGTGAATGGCCCTGGGTTCAATCCTCAGCACCACATAAAAAACAAATAAAATAAAGTTATAAAAAAATAAAAATTTAAAAAAAACTGCAGTAAACAAACTAACAAATAAACAACAACAAACCTTAGAAAATTAGAAGGAAAAATTCATAGTACACTCTCCCTTCTCAAAGATAACTAAGATAAGTAGTCTGGTATATTTCCCTGCCTTATGAATAGTTTGCTTTATGTGTTAAAATCATAGCTCTCTAGGATGTGTTGTCTTCATAAAAATAATGAGAATGATAAATTCTCATCACTATTTTGTAACTTTTAGCAAGTCTTTAGTCTTTGTAGTCTTTAGATTTTTATAGGCATGGGGGATGGGGAGGCTTGGCATTGACTCTAGTATCTTTTGCAATAATTTTGTTTCTAGGTCCATAGAAAAACCACTCGTTTAAAAAATATATTTATTTTTTAGTTTTAGGTGAACACAATATCTTTATTTTGTTTTTATGTAATGCTGAGAATTGAACCCAGTGCCTCATGCATGCTAGGCGAGCATGCTACCACTTGAGCCACATCTCCAGCCCCTCCTATGTTTTTTTTTTTTTTTTAAATATTTTTAGTGTAGATGGACACAAGGCCTTTATTTTATTTATTTTTAAGTGGTGCTGAGAATTGAATCCCCAGTGCCTCATGTGTGTTAGGCAAGCGCTACCACTGAGCCACAACCCCAACCCCACTTCTGTTTTAATATATGCAGATTTCTTTTGTTCAGTCTTCTACAGACATGAGAACCATTTGTAGCAAGGCTTATAGCAACATTTAAAATAAAATCTGAGAAAAAGCCTATTTCTAAAACAAGATACGAAGCCAGGTGGAAGGCCAGTACTGCTGTGAGAAGAGACCAGCAGAAAAAGAAAACAGCACCAGAAAACCATTCTTCTGCCAAATTACAGAGAAAGGAAAGCTATAAAAGGAAAGACCATGAGCTTGGCGTCAATGTTGAAGATAACAAAACTACATTCAATACGCATCAATCAAGAAAGCTACAAAAATGGATTTTTG